CTCTTTCTCCCTGCCCCCCCCCCCCCCCCCCATCTCCCAGCATTCAACTTTCATCTATTTCTTCTGCCATACCTTATATATCTCTCTCTTTCTACTCTCAGTCAGTGAGGCCCCTGTGGGGTTACAGCCATTAGGTATGGTGTAAAGCACCTTGGGGATGTCAGAGTCAGCTTTCTTGGAATCTCCAGGGGTCCACTTTGACAGTTTGTTTCTCAGGGCATCAGGAACCATGCCACAGTGGTCTGTCTGGACATCTAGGAAGTTGCAGCCCAGTGGATGTAGCTGGAGAATATGGAAACAAATTAAAGTTTTAAACAAGAAAACTTTAATTTGTTTCCATATTCTCCAGCTACATCCACTGGGCTGCAACTTCCTAGATGAAGTTATTTTTCTTCAATCAACAGCTAAATATTGAAATAGTTTACCTCTAATATTTAAAAGTTTTGAAATTTTGACTCAAATATAAATTGATCTATAATTAAATACACTAATAAATGAAAAAATTAATTAATAAAAGTTAAATATATAATTTAATTTTTAACAAAAATGATACTCTTTAAATTGGTATTCTCAAATTAAATGTCTCTTGGCTTTTACAAGCTGGCAGTGTGAGAAAAACACTTTAATAAACTCAAAATATGAAAATTAAGTTGGGACAGATAAAAAAAGAAAAAATGGTTTGCTACTTACTGCTGATAAAGTCCCTGCATATGTTGGTGTATCAATAAGAATATTGTCACCTGGTTTTATCAACATATCAAAAGCCTGCAGAAATAATAAAGAAACTATTAACATAAAACTATTTCTTTTCATTTACTTTGTCTCCTGCAAAATTTTTTGCAGTTCTAAATTATTCCATTAATATACAGCACAATGTTGAAGTAAATGCCACTGAAACGTAACTCATATAAAATGTTAAAAGAAACACGTAGATATCAGATATCACTCTAATGAAATCTACTGCATTTCTAAAACTGGATGAAACATGGGTCAGTCCCAGGCCTTATAAATGGATTAGGCGTTTACTAACACTACCCACAGATTTTTAAGCACTGATGCCCACATAACCCACAAATTAACGAACACACCATGAAAGTATTTACCACTACCAGAGTGATTCCTAGCACTAACATTAATCTGCTATGTTAGTGGTAAATACTTTGGCAGTGTGCTGGATAATTTGCGGGTTACGTGGTTAATATGGGTGTTAGTGCTAAAAGATCTGCGGGAAGTGTTAGTAAACGCTATAAATCCATATATAAGGCCTGAGTCCATCCTGTAGGCAGAGGTCACCTTGGCCAGACCATCCATACTCCCTGTAGTGACCACCAGGTCCAGTCCACCCTCTGGTCCTGGTCTGGTCAAGGTGGGAGGGTTGTGCAATCTCTGCTGGAGCCCCTTCAGCCACTTCACTAATGGAGTGAACCTGGAGAGGGCACAGACAAGAAATTATGTGGCATTTAGAAACCGGTGACATAGTGACTGTGCATTGATAAGGGAAAATGCTCAATTTGAATGACATGCCACAGTTGTTTGGATTGCAGGTATATATAAGAATGAATGGTGCACCCATAGATGTATACATATAACATACTAACTTATATGGTGACACTATAATGACCAAAAAAAAGTCTTAAATATGTATCTGATTCAGTTTATTTTTCTAAAATAAATACTTCCAACTACAAAGAAATTATTATACATATCTACTTATCTTTATCAATCAACTGTTTTAAAACAATGGAAAATACTATTTAATAAAACTCTACATAACCAGACAAATGAAAAACTTATTAAATTAATTCAAGCTGTTGCAAAAAAAAAAAAAAAAAAAAAAAAAACCCTCAAAACTATTCAGTCATTTATAATTTACCCTGGTGTGGGTCCATACTGCAAGGCTGCTGTCATCAGGGAGTCACTCAGCTTGAAGGAAGAGCCATCTCTGCATAAAAAATAAGAAAAATCATCATCAATTCTTAGCATAATCTATAATTTAAACACATAGATCTATAAAATATATGATATTTGTATTTTAAAATATTTTTGTACACAGTGGGCATGCACCAAGGATGATCATAAAATACTGGTATGAGGGTGATGACTATTGACAGATAACTCATCAAAGACAGGAAAAACAATAACAGTAAAGGAGAAATGTCAAAAAACAAAAAGCTGAAAGAGAATCANCATTGACAGATAACTCATCAAAGACAGGAAAAACAATAACAGTAAAGGAGAAATGTCAAAAAACAAAAAGCTGAAAGAGAATCACAGAAAGGAACATGCAGTTAATATTTTATGATAAAGGTAATATTTGCACATCAGCCTACATACAGCATGAGAACAGCACTATACATTATTATTATTATTATTATTATTATTATTATTATTATTATTATCATCATTATTTACTTTTGGCTTAAATGAAATTGACAAAACTTTAATCACTTCAGTGTAATGGTTGCTTCATGAAATGGAAACAGTGTACTGTTGGGGGCGCCAGTTGCCAATGTTATAAGAGTGGGTGGACCGGCATTCTGGATGGCCGCTGAAAATATGAAATGAGATTTTTTTGAAAAAAAATAAGCAATAAATAAATAAATGTTAAAACTATTCAATTTGGATCATTTTTATTTTTTATAAAAAAAATGAGCAATCTTAATTTACAAAGATACTTCACTTTCATAGCATATCAAATATTCCACAGAAAAAAAGAAAAATGGTATCACATGCCAAGTTAAATAAAGTTTACATACATGTAATTAAATGTTGACCACTTTTAAATCACTTCCATAAGAGTAACCGTGTATAGACATCAGGAAAATAATCCAAGGGAATGGATGAACAGTGTATTGGTTGTAACGTACCTTAACATTTTAAGGTGCAATGATTGCAATCAAGAAGAACAAGAATGGGTAGATGCATGTTTGAGTTAGATCTTCATAAAGATATTACAGACATTGCAATTACAATATAAAGGGATCCTGTATGAAATATGTGTGTGTGTGTGCCATTGTGCATGTGATTTAGTGCATATGTGTCAGTGCATAATACAATGAGCTGATGCATTCATAAAAAAACCAATTCAGCCTCCTTGGGATCATCATTCACAAAGCAACATGTCAGAAAGAAAAACTTACTCAACTTCCTCAGTGCAGATGGCTGTCTAGCCAAGCTCACAGCTGTAAGATATCGAGAGTAATTCATTTTCTTCGGGAAATCCATCAAGAATTAACCAGAAGCACCAGTGATGGGTCTTTCACTAAAAATAATGAAACATCTGGTTATCTAAAGTTGTAATCAGACACCGTGTTCCTTAGTCAATCAATGCCCAGTCATGTTAGCTAACAAGGCATATCTACGTGAACTGGGTTAACAAGTTACAGTAGGTAACGAATTTTTATTCTTATTGTAGCTTAGCACGAAAATTCATGTGTTAGCACTCCTATTGACAATTCTGATATTGACGATTCTGTGCACAGCCAGTACATATCAGAATCGTCAATAGGAGTGCTAACGCATGAATTTTCGTGCTAATTGTAGCTATTCAGTTTACATATATATATACACTCAANACTTCGTCTTCGTTGTTCGTCGTTTGCTAAACCTCCCTAATGGCATCACATACCCAGTTAAATAATGTTTACGTACATGTAATTAAATAGTGACCACTTTTAAATCACTTCCATAAGAGTATCCGTGTATAGACATCAGGAAAATAATCCAAGGGAATGGATGAACAGTGTATTGGTTGTAACGTACCTTAACATTTTAAGGTGCAATGATTGCAATCAAGAAGAACAAGAATGGGTAGATGCATGTTTGAGTTAGATCTTCATGAAGATATTACAGACATTGCAATTACAATATAAAGGGATCCTGTATGAAATATGTGGGTGTGTGTGCCATTGTGCATGTGATTTAGTGCATATGTGTCAGTGCATAATACAATGAGCTGATGCATTCATAAAAAAACCAATTCAGCCTTCTTGGGATCATCATTCACAAAGCAACATGTCAGAAAGAAAAACTTACTCAACTTCCTCAGTGCAGATGGCTGTCTAGCCAAGCTCACAGCTGTAAGATATCGAGAGTAATTCATTTTCTTCGTTAAATCCATCAAGAATTAACCAGAAGCACCAGTGATGGGTCTTTCACTAAAAATAATGAAACATCTGGTTATCTAAAGTTGTAATCAGACCGTGTTCCTTAGTCAATCAATGCCCAGTCATGTTAGCTAACAAGGCATATCTACGTGAACTGGGTTAACAAGTTACAGTGGGTAACGAATTTTTATTCTTATTGTAGCTTAGCACGAAAATTCATGTGTTAGCACTCCTATTGACAATTCTGATATTGACGATTCTGTGCACAGCCAGTACATATCAGAATCGTCAATAGGAGTGCTAACGCATGAATTTTCGTGCTAATTGTAGCTATTCAGTTTACATATATATATATATATATATATATATATATATATATATATATATATATATATATATATCCATTGACCTATTGTTCCTATTAATAAACACCTAGTGCCTGAACGAATTGCCCCAGTTTTCGACCCTTCATGCCAGGCACTTGTCACAGACAATTACAAACAAATGAAAGGTAGCAAATATAACGGTAAAGTATAATTTGTCCTGCTGGGGACCGGCTGCAGACCGCTTGATCGTGGCAACTGTGCACGGTCAGTTATTTCACTGCAACACAAACAGAGATAAGAAATCCGCTAAGCTCTAACACAGCCNAAAAAAATAAAATATCATGCTCATTTGAAGGTTTGTTTTGTGAAACAAATATACAAGCTTCAAGAATAAAAGAAGTTTTTGAGTTAAGCTAAAAGAAGAAATAATTTATCCACTATATAGAGACAGCCTTGACATGGTCACGAATGTTACATTGTGAAAAAAGAGCAAAAAAACTGCCATATTTTAAAGCTCGATTGTTAAAATACGGAAAGAGTAATGTTGAAACTGTTTCTGGGCAGTGTTCCCGAGCTATAGGACTATGTTTTCCTAAGAGATGAACATTATGTGGGGTTGGTCATATGAGCACATTTTTCAAAGTGCAATTGCACTGTTTTATTGACTTTGAGTGATACAGGGGTATATATCCATTGACCTATTGTTCCTATTAATAAACACCTAGTGCCTGAACGAATTGCCCCAGTTTTCGACCCTTCATGCCAGGCACTTGTCACAGACAATTACAAACAAATGAAAGGTAGCAAATATAACGGTAAAGTATAATTTGTCCTGCTGGGGACCGGCTGCAGACCGCTTGATCGTGGCAACTGTGCACGGTCAGTTATTTCACTGCAACACAAACAGAGATAAGAAATCCGCTAAGCTCTAACACAGCCCGTTCAGCAGTCTAAATCGTGCTAACCACAGCTACAACCTGAAGGTTACCCCACACAAAACTTCAAAGCATAATCATGCACACATTTTTGGATTACCCGCTTATTCATCGTGGTGTTATCTTGTTGTTTTCAACAGCTGGAACAATTTACAGTCTCCACGACCCGGAGAGTTCCATATAAAACTGGCTGGAGCTGGGAGACCTGCCACGCGAGGACAACAGATTATATGCTATCACCAGACAGGGACAGGTATGTGAGAAATTGCGTTATAAATAAATAAATAAATAAATAAATAAATAAATAAATAAATATCCTTTTCTCTCCTTCCATAAATCTATTTTTAAAAGAGACGTTGCGACTTTACATTTAAATTACATATTTAATTATTATTTTTTATTTCCAGTAGTTTTCTACATTTGCACTGTTCATTTATTTTTCTACTAAAATATGATGTGGTAAATATTAGAATATTAAGGAAATTTTCAAGAAACAAACGATCAGTTGTTGTTACTATCAAAACATGCTTAATTAATATCCCTTAATTATTGCCTTAGGCTACATTTTAAGAAGGACTTTAAATGAAGGGATGATAAACTTGATAAAGTGGTTTGATTAATTACAAAATACCTGTATTAGGCATTGCACATTAATTTACAAAGTTTGAATATGATATGCATGCTTAACCCTTGTTACGAGTCTTATTAGGTTTTGGTTGAATGGTAGTTCATAATAATTAATATTTTGTAATGCATACTGCTGCATTACGGCATCCAGTGAAACAAAAAAAAAAAATTAGATAATTAAGTCAACTTATGAAACTAGCTGAAATTCAAACTGATCAAACAGCATGCCATTTGGGTCATTTAGTTCCAGATTCAACTATATCTAAGAGTGTTAAACTCTCTGGCCTGATATGACAGGTGTCTTGTGGCCCGATGTGGCATGTCTGTAAGAGCAAGCCAGCAGCTTCTGTTTTCCAGTCACCGGCTTGTAAACGCTAGTCGATTTCACAAGTTGACCGATTAAAGCAGTACATATCGGATGTGAAGGACATTTAAAAGCAAGTATGAAAGCTATTATTTTCGTTTGGTCACAAGACTAAAATACGCCAATTCAAGCATGACTCAATGAATCGATTTATTGACATTTTCATTTCAAATCTGTAAGGTTCGAAAATGACTTTGTTTGCTAATCATTGCAATCGTTCGTGGGCCGTCCTTTAAGGCTTTGCAAATTTTAGGTTGTTTGCAGCTCTTCGCGGGTCATCTTTAGGTAGAATATATTGCTGAGGAATGATTTAGAATTTTTCAACATGTCTTAAATCACATTAATATGCCATAGACTTTCCTACAAGTTTTTTTTTTTTTTTTTTTTTTT